TTGATTACAAATCTGGCAGGCAGCTGCTTTTTGCAAGTCAAAGAATGCAAGGCCTACGCAGTTTAGGTAAAGTACATTTTTTCCACCCAGATGTGCAAAATATCTCAAGTCTGGTGGCACTGGAACATTTTTTTTGTAGATGACACGTTGAACTCCTAAGTCCAAGAAATGCAATACCCTGCAGTTTCTAGAAACAGGTGAGATATAGCATTTTCTAGTGGTGACTTTCTAGAAGTCTGTTAAAAAAATTATGATACATTGTCATATTCAATATGTAGTTTATAAATATGTTCCATCTCTGCATTGAAGTAGTTTGGCATTTTACATACTGTGTTGTGTTTCTGTACTCTAAATTTGCTGCGCAAGTCTCCGAGATCAGTCTTGCATAGTAAAATCTGGTTGTGTGTGTTACGATGGCCAAAGAAGAGGAAGCCTCACTGTTCTGTTCTTAGCATGTTACGATATGTTTATGCTTTTTTGTAAAAATAAACAAGATGCGAAGAGTTCTTCCCCAAATAATGAGGCATGTGTGTCACAGTGGTGACTATGCAGTGTTTGGCATGATGACTAAAATGGCCTGGTGCTGAAATAAGGTGAAAAATAGCTAAATGTTTTAAAAGGATTTCAAACTTCACTATTCAGTACTGGAGACTTGCTGAATTCTTTGAAATAGAAATGTCTCCTGCTACAGTGTCATCTGTTCTCAAAGAGCCGTGGAGACCTGGCATGTTGTGAAAGCAGAGCAGTCGTTTTGAGGTTGAACGGCAGAAAGACCTATCCGAGCAGTTGTGGTTGGAAAGGATGTCAGCTCATTGAAGAGGGTATGAAAAAGGCTTTCAACAAGCCGTGTGCTGTAGCTTCATCTGGAAGTAAGTCTGAAGGCATGGAAGTTATGCAGATGGGCTACATGATCATTTGGCAACAGAAGGAAAGCCAGTTCATGTCCTGTGTTTCAACTTTTATCTCGGATCCTTTCTTCCCCAAAAGCACAACTGTAGTCTGATGAAAGCAGGAGTGGCTGTTGAAGGTACGCAGCTAACTCTGCTTGTTCCCTATCAAATTTTGCCCATTGCCTTTCCTTGTGAGAGATCATGAAAGAGCATTGTCTGACTGCCACATCCTGGGGCTGATCTGAAAGTTCTAGCTTGCTTGTTAAATGTGTTATCTCACTCAAATTGACACAAGTTGATATCTTTATAGTAAAATTGTACTAGAACTTGGTGAGTGTTTTATTGATCAAGTTCATTATGGAAAATGATGAACAAAACCACACATAATCCCTGTTTCTCTCATGCATCCACCACTGGGTATGCTTCGGTAAGTGATCAGTAAATTACTCCTATGCACAGTTGTTATTTTTCAAGATTAATTCATTTTCCAGAACTGTTCACATTTATGCTGGATTTCAGTTTCAGGTGTATTACTCTGATGTAGTTCAAGTTTTGATTTTACTCATTGACAGGCTTGTCAAACCTCCTTGTATGCATTTAGTATATGTAATGACTGAGAATATAATTTATGCAAGTAATTCCAAAATACAGAAACTTTCACTATTAACTTTTTAATCTGTAAGTGGCATTATTAACGTTTGCCAATGCTGACTTTCAGATTTCTGCTATTGTTTTTTGCCTTTTTGGCATACTTCAATCACATAGCCAGTTGCAAAAAACAGTAACATAATTTAGTTATCAAATTAATGTTAAATAGTACGCAGTCACAGCAAATTCCATTTTTGGCAAGGCATTTCCTTGCTAACTGGTGCGTAGAAGATGCTAAAAGGCTAAAAAAAATAAAAAAATAGAGGAAAAATCTTTTTTTTTGTCTGTTTGTTCCATATCTCATACAATGGGTAAATAACTGCCTGTGGAAATGGCTAGTGTCAGCATTAAGCCATAGCTGAGAAATATTTTTCCTTTTATTGAACACATTCCCAAGCTTCCCAGTACTTTTCTGTCTCCACCTAGTGCCAAGCCATAACCTAGATGGGCCCAAAAATGTAGTGTAATGGGTCCAGGCCAGCGCTCTTAGAGTCCAAATTATAGTCTTGACCAGATGAGTTAATAAAATAAGCATGATTATGAAGTGAAAAGCTTCCCAAATGAAACACTGTGATTTTAAAACACGAATGTCTGAGCCACTTCAGCTGCCTTTTAGCCCATATTTAATGCAGGCCTTAAAGTCGTGGCAGCTCTGCACACACAATCGTGCACAGGCCGTTGCCCTTTTCCCATCTGGGAGAGGAGGGTCTGGCTGTCATACGAGCCTTAGGTGGGTCCTCGTAAGCTTTTAAGCTACTTCAGTTTTTGCTCTGTGGCAAGTACACAGAGGATGTTTTCTCCTGCATCACAACCATCTAGAGCAACCTTGGAGGGGCAGGAGGAAATGTATGTGCTAAAACACAGAATGGCAGACGTGGCTAATTGGAGAGAAGCAGCATATCATAGAGAACTGGAGGACCTTGAGGCTTGAAGTAGCAAGTGCTGTGCCTAGGAGAAGGGAAGTCCTGCTATAAACTTGGGAGCGTGACACAAACACGTGCTTCAGGGAGGAGGACGTGACGATGGCCATGCAGAAACATCAGACATCACGTCAGACTTTATTAGGTGAGATATTCAGCACACGTATTGCTGCTGAAAGTGGTAGTGTGGGTGGGACATAGTTGGGGGGGAGACCTTCAGTAGCACACTGGGTGCACTTGTGATCACCCACAGAAGAGTTGAGCTTAGACTTCGTTAAGCACAGTGGAGAAGTGTTAGACTTGATTGAGGGGGTAGAAGGGCATCATCCTGGATGAGACGAGAAGGATTAGGCTTGTGAAGTCTAGCCAAACGAATGCTGAGAGGGGATATGATTGTTGTCTGTAAATACATTTGGATTGTAAACACCAAGGAGAGAAAGTACAGTTTAAGCAAATGGCCAACACTGGCACCAGAACAAATGGATACAAGCTGGGCTGTGAATAAATTGAGGCTGGAAATCAGAAGCAATTTCCATGTTGTTGGAGCTGTGAGATTTTGGAATGGTTTCTTTTAGGAATTAATAGGACAAAAAAACCCTAAGGGCGTTTTAGGTGGGCGCTAACTTTATAAGAGGGACGCTTTCTTGTGTGAAATGCCGCAGGTATGGGCTCTGACTTCTTCCGTACCAGCTGTAATGTCACTGTAGAAGCAAAACCAATAAACTGTTTGATTTGGGGTGTTTTTTAACCCTATGTAGCAGCTCAAGGAAACAGGTTCTTGAGTGCAGTCTTTCTGATGGGCGACTGCTAGATGTAATCTCCAAAGGACTTGTTTGTGCCATTAAAATCAAGGAGTTTTGTGTGTACGATCATTTATAAGATCAGAGCCTACAGCTGTTCTTTGAATGATGTTGTAGCTGCATTCTTTAAGGATATGTAATTTCTAATTTTTTTGCAGTTTTTAGTCTTACAAGTAAATCCAAATTTGGCTTAAAGGATTCTGGTCTTTATCTGACATAGATCTGGGGTTGCCAGTCCAGAAACACTTGTTGAAATAGCATAAATCATTTTGTGATGACTTCATTCAGTAAGAAATGGTTTTCTTGAATTTTTGAGTTTGTTTTTATTTTCTTTTAAAATTTTTATTCGTGTGTTTTAATTTTAAAAATTGCTGCTGCAGATCTTGGGGTTCCAGCAGGTGTAATCCTCTGTGTGCAAGACTGTGTTTTGCTGCAATAGGGGTTTTTTTAATGATTTATGTTGATGTTGATTATTGTTACCGATCTTGCAGTTCCCTAGAAAATGCTCGTATGAGCAGAAATAACTCAGGTGACAGAATCTGTACATGTACCAGACCCAAAAGTCTATTGAATAAGAAATTTAGAGCCTCTGCAGAACTTTTATGTGCAGTGCGTCACAGGAACCTCTCAAAGTCATTACAGCTAGCTTAGATAGTGGAATGATTTGTGCATCTTTTGTATCTCTTAGAACTATGACGTTTTTAGGTAGTGGATGGAAGGTGGAAAACAGAGAGAAGTGTTTTGAAGAAGTGAAGTATGAAGAGAGGAAAATATTTTCTGCTTTCTGTACAATAAACTTGTATCAGCTGTGTGGGGTGCTGTGTTACTGCTTGTTTGGTAGAGTTCGAAACTGCTGGGCATGGTGTGCTAGGCTCTCTTACCCTTCTGCACACCCCTTCCTCTCAACTTCTCTTGAGTAGGTTGGGTGCACTCTAGTGTAATTGGAAAGATACTCAGACCTTTCAGATCCTTTCAATTTATTTCTGCCTTTTTGGTACTCTCTCACAAGTTGGGTTTTTTTTCCTTTTGCAACACTTTTGCTTTGGTACAATTTCTTATTCCTTAGAGGTGCTGTTTTTTCTGGATAATGTCTAGCTTGGCATCTCAGTTGTACCAATTCATATGACATGCAGTTTTCCTCAGCGAGAGCTCAGACAGTTGGAGTATTAATAAACTACGGGACAAACACCTTGTTCTTCTGTATGAATTGACAGATTTCAGTCTGTTGTTTAAGGGGTTTGTAATGATCACTGAATGTTTTCTATTCAGGTATCAGTAGCGCAGTGAATGCCTGTACCACTGTGTGTGTGGTGAAGAGATACTGCTCTGTGACTCCATTCAAAACTGAATGGCAGCTGCCGAAGCATAAAAATACTTACTGTGTAAAGTGAGTGCTTGCTCCCATGTGGTGTTTCATCTGCACGTGCAGATGCGGTCCAGTGATGCTTGTACGTAGGGTTCAATACTGCAGAGCATCTCCGGTGAAATGCAAAGAGTTTTTTCCCTCTTAAGGAGAACACAGATACAGGCCACTTGGTTCTTCTGAAGCTAATCTCATCATGCTAGAGCGGATATATCAGAAAAGACTAACGAGAAGCTGGAAGGTATTTGGAGAAATAACCTTTAATACAAAAGACTTGGATTTAATGCTTTTACAATCTTTTTATACCTGAAAATATGTATATGTGATTAAACTGAGATCCTATGAAAGAAAAAAAATTTTTCTTCCATTTTATTTATAGGTACTAAATGAAGCAGTGGGTGCACTGATGTATCACACTATCACTTTAACACGAGAAGACCTGGAGAAATTTAAAGCACTTCGAATAATTGTCCGAATTGGCAGTGGTTTTGATAATATTGACATCAAATCTGCTGGAGATTTAGGTATGACTATTAAAGACATTATTTTACATCTTATACTTGCCTCCAGAAATCTGATAGCATCTAAGTCTTTGCGTTAATGTTTTCTGTGTAATTTACACTAACATAATATGTAAGCTGTATAATTTTCTCATCAAAGTGTTTAAAAATCATTATGGAGATATACTAGCATTAGTTAATTAAGTGATGATATTAACAGCTTTGTGACAGGATGACAATCTGCCTGTTCAATATAAACCCAAGGAGTAAGGCCATAATTTTTCAGCTCTTTTTTTACCCCAGTTGTATATTTTAACTACTACTGCATTAATCCAGTCACAAAATATAATTCCATCAGCATGGCATACTACTTCTGTTTGAATAAAAAATGAGATCATTATCAACTATCTGAGACTTATTTATGATGCATGAGATTTAGTACTAAACTGCTTCATAAAACAGAAATACTGATTTTATAGGGGAATCAGTTGTTGCTTCAGAATAAATTCAAGTACTGGAACTATGAAGAGGTGGTGCTTCACTGTGAAGAAGCAACAGTCTGATTTGTACTTTTCTTACTTCAGGATAAACCAACTCTTACCTGTAATCTACAGGTCAAACTACCACTCAGAATAAATGTCTACATTTTTTTTGTTTCTTTTCTAAGATTGACCAAGTATGGTTCCCATCATGCTCTGGGAAGATCTTGGAAACACTTATTTCAGTGTGACAGTTCTTAGTCCCAGTAATAACTCCATTGATGGAGTGATGTAGTGAGGAGCTGTAATATGGTCTGTTTATCAATAAACAATAGTAAAACAATCACCTGTTTTTTAGTGGTGGTGTAGTTTGCACAGCTGGCGGAGGCAAACAACTTGTAAGGTCTGAGAGCATGCAAGGCTGTGTTCCTACAGAGCGTAGCTAATGCCATGGTCGGGCACGTGCATTGTGAGCCCAGGAAAACACACATGTGTGTAGAGATTGGCCTGGGGTAAAATCCTAGACCAAAACCTAGGTACAGATCAAACGCCCTGACCAGTCAGGAGTACGATTTGTGCGGAGTATCCCTGCTAAGAGGAAAGTCTTTGCAGGTTTGTTGGCTGTTTCTGCAAGTCTACATGCTGGATTGTAACCCAATCTTATAACTTAAATGCATCCATGTAATTCCCCGAGCCAGAGTACAGCAGATCTGGGACAATCTCATTCGTACGAAATGCTAAATGCCCGCACTCCTGATCATTCAGTTCCTATGTTGTGATTAGACTGAGTTATACAGTCAGGATCCATCCTGTTCGTGCATTCCAGTACTTATGAAATACAATTATCCACTCTGTCAAAAGCCAATAAATGCTGGAAGCTTTACAGTGTGAAATCTCTGATTTTAATGGTTAGGGTGAAATGGTTGGAATGAAATACTAACTCATCACCACTGGGACAAAGCACTTTCAATTTGTTGAACTAGTACAAATAATATGCATCTCGAGGAGGTAATATGAGACCTCTTTGTGAAATGCTTTGATTCACTCTTGAAATATAGAGTTAGACCGTAAAGTCTTAAGTATTATTTTCTTATTTGCACTTTCACTCTTAAAATGCATGAAAACATTTGTTTCTCGGATAAAATCTTTTAAGATCTGGTCTGCATTTTCTTTATTAATTGTTGACTAGAAAATATGTATAATTTGTGACTATGTCTGGATGCAAGTGAAATGGGAGTCAAGGTGATGCCTGTTGGCTCCTGCATTTTTCAGCATTGAACCTATGCACAAGGTCACTGAAAGCAGTGGGAAAAGGGGAAAGGGAAGGGAGCATAGAAGCAATGGATGAGATGAATGTGCTGTCTTTTCCTACATGAAATGTCTCTTTTCTTCATATCTTTACCCCTCTCTTGCTTTTTGTGGTTCACCATGTCTCTGCCTTTCAGAAATTAGGTGTTTTTAAAGTTAGGGGAAAATGGGGAAAAAGAAATTTCTGCAGTTTAGGAGAGAAATGACAAAAAAGACTTTTGTTCCCCAAGTTTCCTAAGGAAAGCTATTAGGGAGGAAGGTATAAGGTGAGTTCGATTCCTTATTGAAGTTCCTTTTAAAGCATTATTTTGTTGATGCCAGTATCAGGAGACGTGCTCATTAAATTTGTTTTGCCAACTAAAACCTGCATTTTTACTTTGTGAAAAAGACTTTTTGTATAAACAAATGCAGCTGTTTAATACTATGTGCTTAAAGGGATGTTATTTTTCAGTCTTGTGCTTTGTTCCCCATTTTTCAAAAATGGTTTCATACTACCATTGATGTTAGCAGGATGCCAGGATTAATATTCCAGCAAATGATGCCATTTATCTTTTTGTAAGTCGAAGAGCAGTGACTCAGCAGACACTATATCTCCACAGCAGAGGAAAGAAAAATAGTTCTGCAGGTTCCTCATGTTGGTTTTAACTGATCAAAAGAAAGCTGTAAAAAAGTACTGGGCAGCAGAATAAGGCATTTGAATGTAAAACATAGATAAATATGGTATGAGCTTATTATTTGTCAGTTTAATGTTATTACTACTATTGAAGAGAACGTTTAAGATATACTGGCATTAGCTGAGGACTCATTGAATATTTATTTATGTAAAAATCCAAACAACTAGACAGTGAAAACAATATCAGGGTGTTTTCTAGTATTCAAAACACTTTTTCTCCACTGTGAAATTACGCTGTGTGCTGTTTGTCTCAGTTCTGCTGACTGAGCTCACAAACGTTTGTGGGAGCTGATGATTAGAGAGAAAGCATGTAGTAAATAGAAAGAATGAAGAGAGACAAGTCAAAAAGGACAGAAACTTCTTCAAGTAAGCATTTTGCTTAACTGCTGTACATTGAGTACTGGAAGGTAAAAAGCAGAGTGGGCTAACTTGTGTGCAATTACAATCACTGGTTGCCTGATCTGTCTTTTGAAGTAAAAAAATAAAATAAAATAAAGGGAATATTGTGAGTCTTGAATCAGTCCACTTTCCACAATTGTTTGTGGAAATGTGTAATGGTCTTTTAGTTGCTTGATGTTAGGCCCTTTTCAGTTAGTAACTTTGCAGCTGTTAGGAGCGTGGACTTAATTTTGCATTAATTTTACGTGCCATACAGAAGGAGATTTTATATTTCACTATTGACAGTTAGATGGGTTCTCCCTTTAATTTGAGGGACCAGGAAAGGAGTTGGAATTGTGTCTGTCGTAATTCTACAAACCCGTTTACAGCACGAAACAAGTTGTCCCTCCCTGTGTCGTGATTACCCATGCATGAATTGGAAGTACTGGTAGTTGTCCTGTGAGGGCCTTCAAGAGTTGCTGTTATTATGAATTATTTTATTTTTTTTATAACTTGTATAGATAGCTTTTGGGAGAGTATCTGCTCAGGGGTGGAAAGCTAACTCACACGATGAAATCTAAATAATGATCGCTAACGGCGCTGTTGAGAGCAGGGCAGGTATCTCTTTGCTATTCGAAACACTTTGCTCAGTGTACATGTAAAATGCTCACCGAGACCTCGACTTGTGTTGAAAACTACCTGACCTCTTCAGTATTTTCCTTTTGTGGTTTCAGTGGTCTGTTTACTGTTTGTCTTAGTTTGCAAACACAGTCAAAAGTAATTAAAAAAAAATCAGAAAGCAATATGTTTACACATGTTCGTCAACTGTTATGTCAAGTATTCTGTCTGCCATTACAGTCAGAAGCTTACTATTTGTGCAAGATAGATGTTGAAATACCTGTAAATTTAAACATCGTATTCCTGAGTTGTGTTAAATGGGAAAAAGTAAGAAACGTTTGGCAACTGGTGTCCTTTTCCCCCCATTCTTTGCAGGGATCGCGGTGTGTAATGTGCCAGCTGCCTCAGTAGAAGAAACAGCAGATTCTACCATGTGCCACATTTTGAACCTGTACAGGCGAACCACCTGGCTTCACCAGGCTTTGCGAGAAGGCACGAGAGTACAAAGCGTCGAACAGATTCGGGAAGTGGCTTCTGGAGCTGCCAGGATCAGAGGGGAGACCTTGGGCATTATTGGATTAGGTATGTTGGCTTGGAAAGGTGGTTTAATACACCTCTCCTTCCCTTCCTTTACAGAACTATGAAGATTTGAGCTATAAAAACTGAACACTTAGTTCACTTCTTTCCATGGCAAGCATTCTGTGTAACACCACTTCATTCCTGGTGTTTGTGTCTCAAATGCTTTCCCCTTAGACATCATTTTCCTCAGATGACTTATTTTGTTGTGGGTATTCTTTGAATTCTTTGAAGTTCGGTACATCTTTCTGTTGCCGTGTGGCCTGGTGTCAGGCGCGCTGGTTGTTGGAGAAGGAGGCAGCATCTCTTCCCTTTTCCAGGACAAGGATCCCGCTATTTCAGCCCGGTGTCACATGTATATGTTGTATTTCTCATCCATCGTCATATCTGGTTCTGTTTGTGCTTTTTTCCTTTTACTGTTTTTAACATATCTGAAAAGTCTTTGCTGCAGTAACAGCCTGCAGAGCAGTTAGTTCATGCGTTTGGTTGAGCTGCGTATGAAATTGTATTTCAACTCAAAGGAGAGGAAAAATATATGCAAGAAAGTTTGAAATGTTTCCAGACCTAATAAAATCACCTACTTACCTCTCTGAATGGCCCTAAATGTGTTTCAGCATCTTAACAGATGGACAGGCTTGCTTGAAATGAATTAATTACTGTCTGTTACAGAAGTAGAGAAGAAAAACAAGCAAGTCAGTTTCTATATAAAAATTGTTCAGTCATGTGCTTGTCTTATCAAAGATCTGATAGATTGTGGATGTAATTGCTGGTGGTATTCATCCACAGGAATTAATAATATGATTTTGACAACAAGGCATGGAATTAATAGTATGATTTTGACAACAAGGCATCATACTTAAATGACTGTTCCAGTTACATATTGCTGTCAAAGAACTTAAGCCACAAACTCATACTTTTGGAAGCTGAAAATAGCCTGGCCTTACATAGTACTCATTTAAATGAATATGCAATACACCAGAAACATCTTCACAGTCAAAGAATTGCCTTTAAAATATGACTTTCAAGAAGTTAGTCATGAAGTCACTTTCTCAGATCTATACCTGTGTAATTATGCACCTCATTCAAACACACAATGATTATTGCACTCACAGGGACAGCGTCTATATGTGAATCATAAACAATCAGTGTTTTGAAAATGGAAATGCGTACCCAGCTTTTGACACTTAAGCCTTGGCTCACCTGCTGTGTGCCTGTTTGCTGGAGATATCTGTCCTGTTGGCATTGCATTTTTTTGTATTGCACAAATTCCGGACTGAGACTAGGAAAACATGTCATTTATTATTGACTTCCTTAAGTGAATTTTGTGGGTGTTTTTTTTTTTTGTGAATGACTGAAAAGTATAGAGAAACAAATGGATAATCAGATTGCCAATGTGTGTGTAAAGCTACATAAAATGATAGGTCTTGTTTTAGTTTTAAAAAAGCAAGACTTTTGCGTGCATGGTGTATTAAAAGGCTAGTAAAATCTAATTTTAAAGGTACGCATCTATTACAGTTACTAACCACCCATTTTCTGTAGACTTTTATTGTTCCTGTGTCTTCCTACAATAGAATATTTCCAATTTCAAGGTAAACTAAGTTTTAAAGTCAGTTTTCAAAATTTCCACTGTTTCTTTTGGTGCATGTATGTGAATAGGCACAACGTTTTGATTCTTGACCTGTTCTAACGAACTCCTATGTAGCTATGTATTATTGAAGAATAAAAATGTAGTCTTAGAAGGTATGGAAACAGGGCTGTACTAGGCTTTCCATTTGAGTGCTTCAGGCACTTGGGCTGTGATATATGCTCTTTTCTGTTACAGATCACTGCAAGAGGCTACCTGTCTCTACTTTCAGGCTAAAATGTGTATTTACAACCACCTTCAAAACACTTGCCCTTAGGTTATGTTTCTCTACTAGTGGCCTCTTCCCACGTCTGTAGTTTTGCCTCAATGTATTATTTTGTGATTTGGATGTGTCAGTGTCAGAAGTGATGAACCACTGAGAGGCTATGAAGCGAAAGTGTTGCACACAAAATAAACAATTCTCATCCTCTGTTACGAAGTCCTTCTTTTCTCTAGTTCTGCGTAGTATCACTGTTTCTGTCCTTTCTCGCTGATGTGTGTCTGGGAGCATCTTGTATCCCAACCACAGCTATGTTTCTCTATTCTTGTCTTAAACTTGTGGTCTCTTCAGCAGTGGGTTGCTTAAACTTATCACTTTGCTGCTGCAACAGCTAACTCCAGACCTTCTTCACATCTGTTCCTGGGCTTTTCTCCTGTTTTGCCAAAGAGAAACACCCTAGCCCTTGCCTATCTCTGTGCTAGGGGATGACTACGTCATTCCCTCCCAAGCTTCAGCTACTCACTTCCTTATCCGCTGGTATAGCCAAGTTTCATGACTCACTTGCCTTTTTCTTTCCATCACCCACTCTCTCTTTTCTTTGCCTCCTCTCATGCATATTCCTGCGTTGACACTTGGTCTATCCTGCTTAATCCTATTACTCTGTGCTCCTCCTTTAAAGTTAACCCCATCTCTCATCCTCTGCTTGTATTGAGCTTGAAGATAAGCAGAGACTCAACAGCATAATGCCTCCTTCATGTGCTTGTTGGATACCATCCGTCATTGTTTTGTTGTTTGGTTAGCCTCTGAGCTCCTTAGGGCAGAGCCTGTGTTTCTTTCTGTCTTTATGAAGTGTGTGATTCTCTGAGCCTTACATAAATAATAATATCACGTCATTAAACAGCTGGCTTTGTCACTTTTAATCTTTATTATTATCCAGTGTCCTGTATTTCAAGTGATACATCACGAGTGGGGGTAGTGAACCCTGCATTTAAAAAACACCCCAAACCCAGAAAAGCTACTTTTTCACCTTGTATCTAGACATTTAGGGGTTTGTTTTAAAGGAGAATATTTATGAGCAGCAGCGTGTAAGTACTTGGATGAATAGATAGCTGGACCTGGTTTTGCTGTAATGATAGTTTTACAGCAGTGAAGGCTATGAAGCCTCTGTCCCTTCCCCTTCCTTCCCAGTTACAAATGCTGATGACTAATAGCTAATGCATTTCCTCACTCAAGAAAGGTGAAATTCTTCCAAATACATTTGTCTCTGCATCGTAGTGAATGTCACCACTCAGTTTGCCTTTCCTCACCTGCTGTATTGTCTCAACAGACCCACGGTCCTGACCAGATGTTGGCCAAAGTACTGATCTGCTTTATCAGACAACATTAAGGCTGAGTTGGGTGATATTACCGTGCAATAAATGATGCACGCTAGCAGTCCTACTAGCTCTCTTAATGTAACAGCTCAGCAGGAGATGTAACAAAACGGCACTCTGCATTTCAGAGTTCTCCAAGAGGGAGGAAAGATTGCTCAGATTCTCCATTACTGTTGCACAGACAGGAAAGAGCTGCTAAGTGAAAGCACATTTTCTTTCCCTGGAAGTCTGCAGGCAGGCCATCAACATTTCCGTGGTGTCAAGGGCATTTTATAAAACTTGGTAATACCAACATGGGTTGCACGTTCTTTGCCCAAGGGCTGGGCAGGGGTCGTCGACAACTGCGGCTGCTATAGTGTCGCGCTCAAATCAGGTCATTGGCAAGGTTAAGGTCAGACACAGCTACAAACTGGGAGACTCTGGGGGGAGTCGGGAGACTTGCGGGGAGTGGATGGGTCAGGTTGTAACAGGAGACTCGGGTGCTTTTGATGAGTCTCTCTTCACGCTTCCGGTGTCACTGAAATGATGCGTGGGCTTTGTTCAAGCTTTGTATTAATTTCCAATTTCTAAAATAGGCTTCTGTTCCTTGCTTTTTTTTTTTCTTTGCAATTGTATGCAACATGCATTTTCTGCATTCTTCCTACACGTTTAATAGTTTGAACTTCAGAATTTGCCTTCCCTGGAATCATCCATGAATATTCATAGCAATTGTATATGCTTTTAAGATAGATTTGTCCCGAAGGTGGGGTGCTTTGTGTGCTGTTCGGTTGTTCTTGATGTGCTGAGGTAGGTTTTGAGTGCCCAGGAGAGTCTTGTATAATAGCAGTATTTCAGGAAGGGGCAAAAAACATCGTAGGTTTGTGGTTGTGCTATATTGTTGGACTGTAGTTTAAAAAGGAATTGGAAAATTGTGCGTGTCCACCTGTGTATTTGTCTAACGATTAAGACTAAATATGAATTATCAATTGCAGAAGAGTTTTATCCGATAAAATAGTTATAATAGGACAATTCTGGCCAGTGTTTCAGAAGGAAACTTTGTGCACATTGAATAAGGCTTTGGTTTATTAGCCTGGTTGCAATGAATGGAAAGTGTAGCTTTAACTGGAGAGTTTGTTGTGAGAGATTTCACTGTTGTGAATCCCCTCAGGTATTAATGTTGTAAAGAGTGTAAAAAAAGAACAGATGACAGAATGTTGCATGTGAAAATGAATGGAGCTGGAGTAAAAGCGATATGCTTCGTTTAAAAAAAAATTAGTTTACAGTTGTGTGACTGATTCCTTGAGCTGTGAACATGCCAAAATTTGAAAATAATACAGTGTTTGTGCTGAAAGTTGTCTAATTCAAGTCTGTGAAAAACAGCTTGGAAAGCAAACTACTAACAGGTATGCAAGTATTGAAATAAGAGATTTTGAAGAGCATTTTAACTTGGTGTCACCAAAGAAAATCACAGAACCCCTGTCAGGTTGACATCCTATTTAATATTCCAAGCACATCTGTCACTAAGCACTGCAGAATTGCTGTGTTCAGGTTAAATGATCAACAAAAAAAACCTTTCTTCCTATGGCTTCTTAAGTTTATTCAAAGAGAAACTGTAAAGCAGAGGGAAATCCCTTCAAGCACAATTGGAAAGACACGGGATTTCCCTGTGTTAATTTGATGCTTTTTTGAATGAACTCAGGTGTTTCGAAAGGAAACTTGTTGACTTTTTTAAAATGAGACATAGTTACTATGAAGTATGTAGTGATGCTTTTGAAATGTCTTTATCTAACATTTGTAATACTCTAATGTATCTGGTGTGTAGTCTTCTAACCTGAGAAGTGTGTTAGTTCTTGTTCTTCAGAATACCCTTACTCACTAGATGTACTCACTCTTTTCTCCTCTGTGCTTTACTGGTAGTAGTGTGTCAGAGGGAAATGCTCACCTCCTGATACACATGGCATGGAGTTGTGCCCAAACAGCGATTTGAGGCGGAACTCTGAAATATGACAGTAATCAAAGAGGAACAGAGAAGAGCTGCGGTCATTGTGAATGGTATTGCACTTTTCTTAACTAGATGCCGTGTGAGGGACTGTATTTATTCATCCGTCACTTAGGTAGATGGATATAAAAGTTTTTAGAGCCTCAGACGACAAGAGTCTTTTTAGGCATTTTGATGCTGAAAGGATGTTATTCAAAGTGAAAGAAAATACTAGTTCAGAAAGGAGATTCCATGCATTGAGAATGGTTGAGCTTCAGATTAAACAAATTATCTTTCATTGCATCCATTTTTGAGGATTAATTTTAGCTTTTTATTAAAGCCAGCTGGTCTGACATGGGTAAGAAGTCGTCCTTGGCAGGATGCGCTCACAAGCAGTAGTGTTTTACCATAAACAGGCCCAGCAGGCAAACCCTTGTATTACACAGATTATCGCAGATTACGTGACATCTTCTGGCATTTCAGCTCTACAGTTGCAAAAGGTACAAACCTCCTGCTTTGTTTTGAGCAAAGCAATGTGAAACAGCCCAGATGTAATGTTTCTAATCCTAGAGATGATTTCAAGTGAGATGGGAGCCACCTCTTTTTTGTCGTCTTCCAGTTGCTGTGTGAAATGGTGGGGGTTGATAGAAGGGTTTGCAGCGGGAAGGAGGAGGCTACCTTGCACCAGCTGCTTTACATCTGTTCTCATCGCATGTTTATCTTGTTCTAGGGCGTGTTGGGCAAGCAGTAGCACTACGTGCCAAAGCCTTTGGCTTCAGTGTGATTTTCTATGACCCATACCTCTCAGACGGCATGGAGCGTGCTCTGGGACTGCAGCGGGTGAGCACTTTGCAGGACCTGCTGTTCCACAGTGACTGTGTTACCCTGCACTGCAACTTGAATGAACACAATCATCATCTTATTAATGACTTCACCATAAAGCAGGTAATGATCTCTGTGGGCCCCCTCCACACCACTGCTGGTTGCTGACACTGTATAGTGTTTGTTTATGTAAACAGGCAGATTCTCATTTGAAAGAAATTTCTCTCCCTTTTGCTGCTTTGTGATCAAGCAGGTTTATAACTGACTAGGAAATAGCTGGGGGTTATGTGTTGTTGCTTTTATTGACTTTTTTGCTCGGTAGCATTGCATTTGTGGAAATAATTTGCTGCTCTTAATGTTGTTCAGCTTTAATAAAGTTGCATTTATGTAAAAGCAGTTTTTCTATGACTTTTGGTAGCTACTTCCTTTACCTGTTTATTTTCAGGTAGCAATTCTGCCTTTCACTCTTGTTCCTCAGTTTGAGTTCTTTAGCTGCAGTTTAAGGATTATGACTAAATGGCTCCCCCCTGTGCTCAGTCCTGTTGCTTGCAGAGCGCTTCATGGATGAATCGCATTTACAGCATTGCATTATTTGGAAAAATAATGTTTCTTGGAATTAGTACTAACCTCTCCCTAAACTTTTAGGTAATATTAAAATAATTTCAAAATCTAGGCGTAGTAACTGCTCCATTATTGATTAACTTGATAGTAAGCGTTTTCATTAAACATCCGGCTTCTGACAGCGAGAAATGTAATGCTGAGATGTAAGAATGTAGACAGTGTACAGGAAAGAAACTCTGAGATATGATAATTGATTTTGCTGCTGTTTATACATGCAGTGTTTGTACCTGTTGGTAACAATGATGGTAGTACTCTTGTGCAGTAAAATCATTGCTTGGCTTCTGAGAAATACTTTGTACCTACTACTCTGGAACTTTAGGAGAACTGA